ACTTTGGTTGAGATGCTCAACAGTGGAGTTGGAGGCCTTTGAGGTTTTGAAGATGTTTAGACCACCTTATCTACACCTGTCCTGGTTTCTTAGGTTTTACACTTAGGCTGGCGTGTGGCAAACCGCAATCGAGTCAGTACACATTTCCTAAGTGTGTGTGTGTGTACGTATCTTTGTGTGCGTGTGTGCTGTGTGCTCATGTACTTAGACTTTTTCAGCTATATATATACTCGCGATCTCTGGGAGAAGGTTTCTCACACGTACCTGTCTTGATGTGGCTGTCTGTGGTGTTATTATGCTGCACTGCGCTTTTGGCTTGCTGCCTTTCACTTTCACACACATTTCCGCGCGTCACTTTGCAGTTCCATTTCTCTAAAAACAGCATTTCTTGTCAACTTATCTGTCAACTTATCTCCAGTCAGATCGGCACTTTGGTACAGCAAACTGCAAATAGCAAACCAGTCGAGGATACACCCTCTATTGGTGGCTGCGGCTGCACAACAGGGCCTCCGGCTGCAAGAATGTGGTGCTGCCAGCATGAAAGGACTGTATATTATATTGCTGCTCACAGCAGATTTCATCCCCGCCTTCTACATCAGGTCCTGCAACAAGAATTGAGTGACAGGCTTGAAGAAGCTGATGTTGAGTCTCTAAACGTCAGTCGTTCTTTCAATTGCAGGAATGACTTGCAGAGTGCTTTGCCTCAGCATTCAACCTCTATTTGACAGCAGCACAAGGCTGGAGTATTGCTTTTGAACCAAATAGCAGGAGGGATCCAGCTTTCAAAGCTTTTGAAACCAGGGTGTCCGAGCTGTAGGATAGTTTGTTGGAAAACTGAAAAGGTCTCTTAGCCTCGCACGAACTGCACACTAGCTTCAGGACAGCTTGCCATGGGAGGAGCTGTTCTAACCATCCCACGAAAAATCACGCTCCACTCAAGATTTCAGCCATCTCTTCATCCTCCAAATAGCCAGCCTGCACTTCCAACACAAAAAATCACTAAGCTCTCGGACTCTATGTGGCAAGTTGACACGAAGGCAACAAGGACACACAAAGACAGGAGCAATGGATGGTAGTGGTACGCGGTGGCTTTTTGGGAAGTAAGTGCAGGGCATAGTAGGGCAAAGAACAAATAAAGGCTGCACCGAAACTGTGAAGGATCCTTCAATTGAAGGCAAGATATCACGATCCCGCAAAGTGTAGCCCGGCCTCCTCGTCATCCACCATGCGAGAAAAAACCGCGAAAGTCCAAACCCTCTGTTGGGTTGCAACCAACTTCTGTACAAATCATCACATACTCCTTGAAGGGCATCAATGGGCGTCATTTGGAGGCAAACTAGTGTGACCGAGCAGTGAAGGTCAACCTAGAAAATGAATGCCTTTGTCTTTCCCTTTGGCATTGGTCTCTCTTTGCAGCATGGCAAATCTAACACTCTAAGACCCCACGGTGGGAGCATGTTTGAAGTCGTGGGAAAATACACCAACCTTGAAGTCTTGTTGTCATTTACGGGAAGACCGAAACAAATGTTTTGTGTCCTGCGTCCACTCAGAGTCGTTGCCTTCGAAACCCATCACGGCAGCAAAGTTTTTCAGTTCCTCACTATAGAGGAAACCGTCGCCATCAAGATCCTGAAAATCAGTAGGACACACTTGCCCGCATTCTCTCACTGCAACAAACTTGTCTTGATGTTTGTCCTAGCAACTGCGTTTCTTTGACCTGTCACACTGGCTGGCCGGAGATTGCAATGAGTATACATCATGTACAAAATAGCCCGAACGTATCAATCAAAGAAGCATGCGAGAGTCCGATACATCTGGAACAATATCAAGAACAGTTTCTTGCAAGAAATCAACTCTGTATCTTGCAACCCTTAAATCTTCTCTAAAGGAATGTGAATTTGCAAATCGCGTTGGCCATGTTCAACAGGAGTACCAAGGTATTTAAACTGAAAAGGGTGACATGCCAAACGTCGGATCTTCTTCGAGTAAAAACTACCCAACAGTTTTCACTGCAATCTGTTCTCTCGTGGAAAAAGCATCCAAGGAACAAAGCGTTGGAAGAGCTCAGCTTTCATGGAGATGCGTGAAGGTGAAGCCCCTCCCGAGCCTTCTGCCATTGCCTCCAGTTCCTGGAGCACAGTTCTATGCAGGCAGCACGTGCTTTAGCGCCGTTAGCCAGTCATTCCTAGGACCTCTTCATACCTCTTCTCTCCATTCCTGTACAGCCATTTTGGGTTTATCTGGTTGTTCTCCTGCCACTTAGTTGCCATGCATTTGAACACAGTCCGCAAGGGCATCAAGGATGAATACGGTCAATCCGGTGCAGCTTTCCAGAAGCACATCATGTATGCTCTTCTATCCAGTGATAACAAAACAGACCTTCATGACTGATGTTCTTCATGCAGTATGGCATGCTGAAGATATGGAGGTGCTCAAAACGCAGAGCCTCTTGTACACTACACCAAGAAGAAGCTAAGAACACTTACTTGTGTGTGTGTACTGAGAACTCCTCCATGAGCATCAATGGCAGAACCTCTACCATGCTTCTCTGAAGTCTTTCATGGAAGTCAATGACCTTAACAAAGTGGGTGGTAGGGGCAAATTGATGGGGATAAAACTGCTGTAGGCAAAGGTGGGTGTTCGTGTCGGCAAGCCCGCGTCCCAGCTTGAAGAGGCGCTCTGCGAGGATAGCAAAAAAGGAGTCATGCAAAACCACATGGAAAAGGGCAGCAAGGCCGTGTGCAGGCCAAGGCAGGAAGTGCCAAGGACAAGGGAAAGTCAAGCAGCACACAGTGGATGTGGTTTGGGGTGGAATGCGCGACGGACAAGTCGCAGCTTGTACACATGGCAAATAGCAAAGGTTGCTGCTGCTGTGTTTCCTGGTCCCTCTGAGGCACCTAAGAAGAAACTTGTGGACACGATGTGGGGAAGGAGGTTCTGGGGAAAAAACACATCAAGCCGCACTCAAAAGTGGCAGCTGATCGGTGGACAGCCACCGAGAGCGCATGCAAAGACCTGAAACTCCCTCTCAAGCAGTGCAACCATGCAGGGCTAGCGGATAAGGATGGGACTCACTCCAACAATGCTGAGTCTGAGGTAGCTCGTTTCAAAAATGTGGAGCAGAAGTAAGTGGAGCAAAGTCTGTTCCAAGCTCCAGCAGCACTTCTGTGAAGCAAGAGAAGTTGGACAGCGCCGTTTGGCTTTTCGATTTTAATGCAGGGGGCTATAGCACATTGTGGCAAGACTCCTGCCAAGCGAAGATGCTTGCAATTGGTAAAGCCAGACCTGATCAGTCTGGCGCACCTGCTGCGTTTACTGGGCCCACTCGCCCGTTCGTTACTAGAACAAATTGCCAGCCGCTGCACCGGTTCCATCATTTCTGCAGATGCGCGTTTGACGTTTTGAAGCTCTGACTTTCAAACTTTGATGGACTTAGAACTTGTATTCAGGAATTTCACTTCAGGAGAACTTGGAAGTACTTCCATGGTTGGACCCCTTTGCACCCGCTTTACCCAGGAACTTTTTTCACCTAGACGTTGGGGCAAGTGGCATTCAGACCGTGCGTACTGTATCCCGAGTGTGGGTCTGGGAGGAACACGCAGTCGCAAAGAGGAATAAGAGAAAGGGCCTGGACGAATCAAGGGTGTCGTGAGTAGAAGTGGATGCAAAGCAGGTTCATTGCCTGTCCAGCAATGTACTAGCGAATGACTAAGTAATTGTTCGAGTCCGGTCTAGCATGTCAGGACCCTGGGTGGAAGAGGCTACAGTCGTGCATTGGAACTGGTGCAAATCAGCAAACATAACGAGACCACATTCACCGAACTTCACCACATCATCAACTCAACGCGTCACCACTGTACAAGTGACCACATCAATGACCTCAACTCAGATGTAAAGTCGTATACAGTTCCATGTAAATATGTCTGTGAACCGACATGGCCACAATGGACGCTGCTTTTGGTGGCCTAATGTTCGTTTCAGCGCAGCGGCCCAGCAGCTTTTGCGGTCCTTCACAGCAGATTGGTCGCCACCGATCCCCCTCCAAAGACGCTGGCGAACATCCTCACAAACAATGGAGTGGAAGACTTTGAGTGCACAAACCCAGCGTGTGTGTGTGTATATATATACATATAGTTTATTATATATATACTAATATACTAATAAATCATAGAGCTCTTCTTGAAGCTCCAGTTGTTCAATTTTCTAGTTCGAGCCAATTGAACATTCAAGCTTGGGACCATCCCTCTTTGTAAAAAACTCGCAAACGGCTCCTTTCCCCTCATGCCCTACAGGTTACACGAGTTCCTATCCTCTGTTATACACTGTGACTCACAAGACACTGAATCACCATAATGCAGGCTTTCAGTTCAAAACGATTGCAATTCTAGCTACTCCACAACCAATGCACCTCTGGAATGGCTTCTGCAGCGGAAGAGATTTCATCCGCAGTGTCTTTGGTCACTGCGAGGGCTTTCAAATCCTGAGGGCACTGCGAGACAGCCTGATCCATAAGGTGTTATTTGCCAGCAAATTCCTAAACAAATGTCGTTGGAAGAATGAGGTCAATGAACCCTCAGATTCGTGTCATACACTTCTTGAGCATTCTAAAGTGGTAGATCAAACGCAGGAACTCCTGTTTTGATAAAATTTCTTTAAACATCAAGACCAAAAACCAACAGGAAAGTGCAGGCGCAGCACCCACCTTTGCAGGTTGGTTTTGTTTCGTTCGTGAGTCTTTGTGCGTGACCCCCAAGGTCACCAACATGTAAAGAAATTGAATTGTATTAAAGAAACATGACCTGCTTTCCACAGGTTCCAAGCAAGTTCAAAACAATCTCGGCAAGGCACTTTGCGGCTTTGTGCTGGCTTGAAATCTCGGAGTTCTAAATCCAGCCTGCACCAGCTTTAGTCACATTTGTCACCAGTGTCAACAGTGTACCAGTTGCCCTTTGTTGGAACGCTAGCAATGTTTGTCCCTCTTGAAAAATATTCAACCGCTTTTGTCGCATGTCATAATCTGCTTCTACAATACAACGCACCAACTGCATCTTGATGAGTTGTTAGTTGTTGGCCTCTCAACTCCAAATCCTGCTGACCGATCCTTATGATGTCTTCGACGAGATACTCTTGCAAGATCTCCCAAGGACCCTGAGCAGCATGAAGGCCATCCATAGTCAGCTCAACCGGCAAATGATGGGTGCTTAAACTTATATTGTCCTTCAAACCAAACCTGAAAATGCACATGTTACTTACAACACCTTCAATCTACAACCATGGGGCAAAAAAGGTTCGCACACCAGGCAAGCACAGAAAGTTCAAAGCTCATGAGTAGTAATTCTTGTGCTTGGGTGGAATGATGAACATTGTAGAGCCAACTCAGCGGAATCCGGATGAATCCTGTCCATCCAGAAAAATATTGTCGACTCGGGCCAATCGAATCCAGCAAATGGAACGAATAGAGCCAGGACAGCCGAGAAGCGGGTTGGTTATCTTGAAATAGCAAGGTTTGAGGAAAGGAATGCACAATGCAATAGCAGGGAGGAAGTGGAAGCGTGGCTGAGGGTGATACTTGATAGCACATTCCATTGGGGAAAGGAAGCGC